TGCGATCCTGAATAATCGTCTCAAATATTGTATATTGTATTTATTTGTAAATCACATGTATATTGTGTAAATATGCAGCGTGAAAAGTGTATCAGGTGCTCTTGAATAATTTGGCAGTATGATCCTCTCAGGATGTTGTGGCACAGGTTCTCTCAGCACTTGGTAATAAGGTCTCTGCTCTTTGGTTACATCGATGGCATATTAGAGAGCCGAAATAGTTAAATTAAAGGAAAAACAATCGCAAATAAACACACACACAACTGGTAATTCGAAGTCTTTTTTTTATGACCTGGTAACAAAGACCTTTAGGTCATAACTTATTTGGAAAATTTACATTACTTTGGAGTCACTACACTTCACTTCACAAAATTTTGTCATTGAATGCACGAATGCCACAGATTACAACAAATGCAAACTCGAGTTTTATGCCGGCCCTTCACTTGAAAACATACGGCATTAGGAAGAAAGAGTGTTTTGTTTGCAGCGCTGTCATAGATTATACACATAAAATGGTACCTAGTCTCAGATTATTTTTTAACTTTTTAATATAGCTTACTTAACTGGAAGTGTCCGTCACAAATTAAATACTGATAATTATCGCAAAAAATATACTAAGATTTATTATAAATGCCCAATTGGTGTTGGTTCTTAGGCCAAATTTAACATTGTCCTTTAAATGTTTTGAAAGTGCGTTAATTGAACTAAGTTTCTTATAACTAAAAACACAGCGTTGGAAATACCTTCGTTTTCTACGTAATAAACTATTCCTCCAATACAACCACCGCTAAATTACTAGTTGAGTCTATTCTATGCACAAAGCTCAACGCCACAAAGCGCCCAATTGGTAAGATATTCACCATACTTACGTAACAAGCCTTCTTAAGGCCGATGGGCAATTCTCTGCATATCTTTCGTACATTAAGGCATTCTTTACCCCACCCTTGCCCGGGGTAAATTAGTTCGTGATACGCAGGCACGAGCTAAACTCAGGATGCAATTCGTATATTGCACACGTTCGCTACATTCCCAGCGGAGTTTAGAAGCCCATCTCGTTCGGCTACTGTTCGTGTGCAATTTTATCATTTCTGCTAATCTTCGGCCGGAACGTTTTGTGGTAATGCGATGCCTTATCAAGGTTAACGATTGCGAACACCATCGCATTTTTTCTGACTCTGAAAGTCGGCCTTTGCGATGGTCGGGCTTTTTTTGGCATACTAAAACATAGCCTTTTTAGTTTCTTGAAAATAACTTATTCAGAATTTTATGCTGCCTTTTTTTGCTATGCGTTGTTTTACTTACGTTGAACTTTCTCATCATGCAGGCATCTTGCTCCCACGAAATCGTCTGGCAGCACCTAATCGGTCTGCGCTTTTCCTAGCGACATTACGAGTCGATTACACACCCATGGACCTCACCTTTTCCTCCCAAACCGATCATTAGCTTGTCGTAAATCAGTATGGCACTTTTGAAACTGCTTTCTATTCAAATCGCCAAAAAGTGTTACGTAGAAAGTGACGTGTGCGACACAACATGCGCATACGCGTGCGTAGCCGTCTAGTTTTCACTTTTTTGGACACTTATATCATCGTCGATAATATTATTCATTGGGTGCAAATTTTGTAATCCGACATTCACCTTGACAACAACCAGTTCTAAGGTATAGATGCGCTTGCGATCTGTGACCAAGTGAAACCGATGAATAAGAAATGAGAGATCTTATTTTTTTCCCGTCCAATATCTTTTTGTGATAATATTTCTATATTATTTTCCTTTTTCAATAGCAAACCGTGAAGTGAGAATTTTCAACTCGCTGGATGTTGAGTTGTATTTGCAGAACGCCATTTGCCAAGAAACTTATCTTACTATACTAAAAAAATATTTAATTTTGATGGAACTGAATGAGAAAACTGTTCCTTCTTACTGTTTTGCATAGCTGAAACTGTCTTCCTTCTCAGATGGAAATCAAAAGAGACTCCTTACGTATGCTTCTTAAACATAACTCGGTTGAAAAGTGTTTAAAAAATTCACACACGTCACACAAAATAAATCTTTCGTTCGTTAGAAATTAACAACAAATACAAATACATTCTATGATGCGGCCATTATACCACTGGATGTCGCGACAGTTTAATCTCGGGAGATCGTTATTAAGTCGATGAATGGATATGCTATGTAAATAACAGACACAACGCACCAGTCAACGATGTGAGCACATATAAAGTTCCTTTTGTGGACGGAGTTGATATGTTAATTGCAATTCATTACCATTATTATGTGACATATGATCTTATAAAGGAACTGATTAGATATCTATGTATGCAGTTCTATGTGACTAAGATATGCCCTGATGAAAAAATTTTATACATGAAGCCAACTTGTCCAAGTCTATTCTCCTTCCTTAAGTAACCATCGTTTTGCGATATCTTTTAATCGGTCTCTGTTCCAGATAAAAGAGCATCAAATGCGAATTAGCATGATATTGGCTCGATTCTGACACTTTGTTATTGACATGACATTTGATAGTTGTATGCCCTTATTAAGGAGGAGCTCAGTAGCGCAGGTGGTTAGAACATTTGGCTTGCTGTCGTGAAAGTTAAACAACTTTCGCGATGTTCAGTCATTGAATAGGTGACCACAGACTTTATCTCGAGCTCTTCCGTGCATTGGAAGGCACGTTAAGCTGTTGGTCCAAGATACATCTGCCGTTGTTAGCATCCTACTGAACCGCACTGGGCCCGCGTGGTGGGTCACGTCACGGCCCAGGCTCCCTATTCCATCCAAAGGAAATGCCTATGCCCCTGCAGTGGACATTAATAGGCTGATGATGACAATGCCCTTATCAGGATCTTTAAAAAATCAAAAGCTCGCCTTTTGCGGCTGTTCAATTTAGCTTGGAGAATCATGAGGTTTATTATCTAACTTTATTAGCTCTGTCCGATCGATGCCACTCAAAGCCAAAAGAAATGGCAATGTGACATAAACTTATCAACTTTCCATGCATCAAATAAAAGGGATCACAAAGGAGTAAAACCACTAAGAAACACCTTGCTTTCAAATAATGTTAGGGGAGATGATCCAGTCCCAGATTAGTTTGCACTACTCTTTCCATCTTAATATTTTATAGCATAGGTGTACTGTAAGGTACGGTATTCCTAAAAACCTGTACTGACACTGTGGCGTGCTTCTCAGTACTAGTCTATCCCACATGGTGTTAGGTGTCCAGTAACGATGATTGTGTTGCGAAAGTAAATGGTATCGATGAACACTCGTTTGTACCGATATAAACTGCATGATATAGGCCGTGCGAATGCCTAGGTAATCTTCTGTGGAGCTGACAAATGTGTATTGTGACGCACCACTGACTAACAGAAACAAACATAGGCGGAGACGCAAGCGCCGGTGACTTAACCAGCGCTAAGAATAATCGCGGAATGTTATTATTAATACCGGCTTGATGAATAAAGATTTATTATTATGATAGCCAATCTGCTGTGCAGTATAATGCCAATCATTGCCGCTAGGTACGTTTTCAAATCCGTGTTTGAATTTTTATTAAAAATTGCTTTTAACTTCCTGGTAAGTTCCTGAACTCCTGGTAATAATAATACATATATTTAAATATAAAGAATTTGCAATAATTATGAACTAATAACTTGTTGGACTGACTCCAACTGGGCAAGTCCAACTTCCAGAAAGAGGTTAATCGACGAATCCAACTCGGCTGGGCAGCGTTCGGGAAGCTACGTAGCATCTTCTCGGAACATCTACCGCAGTGCCTCAAGACGAAAGTCTTCAATTCGTGCGTGTTGCCAGTGATGACATACGGAACCGAGACGTGGCCGCTTACAATGGGTCTTGTAAGAAGGCTCAAAGTCACCCAAAGGGCAATGGAGAGGGCTATGCTCGGAGTTTCCCTGCGTGATCGAATCAGAAATGAGGAGATACGCAAGAGAACTAAAGTCACCGACATAGCCCACAGAATTGCAAACCTTAAGTGGCAATGAGCAGGGCAGATTGCTCGCAGGACCGATGGCCGTTGGGGCGGAAACCTTTCCGCGAGTTCCTCGAGTGGCGACCGCGTACCGGGAAACGCAGTGTTGGCAGGTCCCCCACAAGGTGGACCGACGATCTGGTAAAGGTCGCGGGAAGCCGCTGGATGCGGGCAGCATGGGACCGATCGTTGTGGAAATCCATGGGGGAGGCCTATGTCCAACAGTGGACGTCTTTCGGCTGAAATGATGATGATGAATAACTTGTTCATTATTTGAGAAGAATATATTGAATTGATAGCGAGTATTCTTCATTTTCAATTGAACTGGTTCTAATGACTCGTCTAAGTTTTTTAATAATAATTTAATGAGATATCTAATCATATTGAATTGAATTTGGTTATTAGAATTATCTTATCTTTGAACTACCTGAATATATCATTTCCATCAAAAATCTAATCGATTATTTTGAAGATAAATTATCATTGTGTTATGATTCTCCGGTAGAATAATAAAATTGTAAGGTGTCCTCGCGAGTATAATTATTATTTAATGTTTTCTTTTTCGTTAAAATAATCTTGATGCTAAGTCGAGTGTATAAATACTCACCAGCGATATTTAATGCTAGGGTTTTTAATGTCCTAGATGCTCACGTTAAATCTAGCGTCACCATCTTTGAAGTCTCGGATTCTATTTCCAGTTTCAATTAGTGTAGCATTTATACCTTCCCGATTGTCTTATCATCCTATCATGTTTTTAAATCACATACTCGTATAATTTGCATTTTACTTTTAGGTCAAAGATTTATAATTGCTCGATCAGTATACGCTAACGAAACACCTCTGCAATCAGATATGCTCGAGTGCACGTTCCTTTTGACTATCAACTGAGCAGAAAATGTTATTAAAAGATTGAAAGATACATTTTTATTCACAACAACATGAATACTTTAAATATATATGTATATAGATATCTACCTGCTAAATCATTTATTTTTTGTTTTGTTTTCAGGGCTGGTCGTAGAAGGCGGAACCCTCTGGCCCTTTACGCTGATGATGACGGTCACGACCTGAGTGACCTCGGCATAGGCACCTCCAGCACTAAGAGCAGCTTAAGTGAGGATTGTGACACCCACAGTTTGGCCGTAAGTACTTACCAATCTAATGCGTTATAAAAAATATTATTAATCATATCACAAAGTAAAACCTAAAGAAAAAACATTCGTGTACTTACTGTTTTTCTTTAAAAGAATATTTACATTAGTATTGCATAAATCGATGCAAACATCACTTGAAAACTTTGGGGATTCACTAAAGATATTATAAATCATATATATATAACCGTAGTCACCCTAGCAAAACTATTTGCTGATCATTTATGTGGTCTTAATTTCCAGAGCGACGGTATCGACCTGGATAAGAATCATTCAGATGTCGACAATCTGTCGAACTGCGATAACAACCGCAAGCTCGGTTCTAGCGCCAACGAATACGACACATGCACCACAACCACCATCAGCTCGCCCGAGCCCGAGGAATACACATATGAGGGCGCCATAGAAGGCTACAAGTCTCGAATCATATCACAAACTAATAGCAGTATGATCAAAACTGTTGTCAACAACAATTTTAAAGATAAATCACCAGAGAAACTCAACGGTGACCTAAACAGAATTCGAACCTCTGTCAGCAACAAAATTGAACAGAAAGTTTCCTCTTTCCAACAGGAAAGGAGCAATGATACCAAGAATAATAACCAGAAAAAAGACTTGCCAAAAGTAGATATACACAAACGAAGGGAACAATTTGAGAGGGAAAATTCACAAGAATCGCAAATTAACAAACCAAAATTACCTGATATTGCTAACAAAAAATCCATCAAAGAGAGGCTGTCAAGCTTAGAGAAGTTCTCTGAAGATACACAACTTCAGAAATCTACAAGTGACCTGACTAAGTTACCTACAGAAGTTAAGCCATTAAAAGAACGACTGTCTTCACTAGAAAAAGTGAAATCGGGTAACGTGGAGCCAGATCGGGCCAAAAGACTATCAAATGGTGATTTAAATAACACGAAATCCTTAAAAGAACGTTTATCTAGCTTGAAGTCACAAACATCAGAAGAAGAAGTAAAAGTTACAAAAACGGAAGTTAAAGAAGTTTCAATGAGCCTCAAAGAAAGGTTATCATGTTTGGATGCAGCAAGAAACAAAGAAATACCAAAAATATCTGTTGATGAGACACTTGTTATTACAGAAAAGGTAGAAACCAAAATAGACAGTGAAATAGAAAATGATACCAGCGATAAATTGATGGACAGCTCATTAAAGTCAAGTTTATCTGGAATCGAAAGTCAAATGCAGAGTTTTTGTCGTTCTCTTGACAGCTTAGATATCAATGGGCAGTCTTCTCCAAATTCTTTTGAAAGAGTTCAAAGTTTGGAAGACTTCGATTGTGCAGAAATGCAAAACAATACTGTTCCAAGTGATATTGAAACAGAAGATAGTGGTATTCATACTGCAAGGGATTCTTGCGTACCCCCTGATGACATTGCAGATTTGACTCAAGTAGCTTCTCCTTTAGGAGAACCTATGATTGAAGTTTCTGAATATGAGTCATCCAATGAAGACAATGCCATGATTTTGGAACCATCAAAAATTGAAGAGCCTGTACAAAGAAACGATGAACAACCCGTACAAACCATTTTACAAGATGTTATAATCGAAGAGGTAGAAGACCAAGATAGTAAAGCAGAAGATACAGATAGTGGTAGTAACTATATTCAAGCAGTTTCACAACCGGAAGAGCTTAGTGTTACAGAAGAAGTGACTGAAATACAAATGGACAAAGATGATGAAGATACTCTTAAGAGTTTGGATAATCAAGACACTAGTGTAAGTTTAAATGAATCTACTGCATCTGAAGGAGATACGGTGGTGTTTCAGGGGAAGATGACTATACATTTAAACTTGAATGAAATTTGCAACAATATGAACGCTGGTGCTGGGAATATAACTAACATTAATGACCTTAATTCTTCTAATGATACTAATAACAAGAGCATGCCCATGGTAACTGTTTCTAATATTACTACTACTACTAACATTTCGCCAAAAAATTCCATTAAAACATTAAAATCACTAGCCGATGCTCATATTTCGCTTACTAACAAATTCGCTGATGTAACATGCTCATCTGATTGTGTACAAAAGGTAATTAAACAAGATTCGTGCATTAATATCACACCCAATAATCGTATAACAGCGTCTAACAATACGAACAGTGAAGACGCTAACCAAAATAAAAGTATTTCAGCTGCTCAAAACGGAGAAGAGGTGGTAAGTAGCTCTCAAGATACTAATCCGTTTTGGCAGAAAAGAACTAAACGTAATATTGAACCCAATAGGCGAAAAACCATATTGTTTATTAATAACAAAATAACAACAAAAACAGTAACTAACGTTAGCAACGTTGTCACCAACAAATCGTGAAACGAAGGCCTAGATGTTGATATTGTGATTTGTCTAATCGATTTCTCATAAATTGTTGCCCGTCAGCAAGCCAGATGAGAAATTAGAGATGTAGACATAACTTTTTTTTAGAATTTTTATGATCTCTTGATCTCACTCACTTGAATTTTTGGTCTTCCACTTTAGGTCCTAGATCATTCGCACTGTATTTGAACCCTGTATGACATAAAGTTTACTACTAATTAATCATTCAACAATAACATTCATTAGGTAATTAAAACTGAATTCATCATTTACTTATTAATATTCCATGTGCTAAAATGTTTAATGAGCAATTAAATCCTAGCACTTAGCAATCATAGTTTCATTACATATTTCATTATAATTGTAATTTATTCTTAATTAAACAGGGTTATGAATTATTGTAGTGTCCATATCTTATCACATGTATATTGAATTCTATTTATATACACCTTAGGTCATTTTTACATGTAGAACCCTCTTAATATTCTAGGATTCATTCGTTATTTTATTTATCTAAAACGTGATATTTGTAAGTTCATTTGTATCAAAAATATATGTTACACTGTTATGTGCGAGTTTTATTTTATATATTATTATTAATAACTATAACATTCCTTTAATCTTAAACATTCAAATCAGAACTATTGCAATGTATAATATAATTAATCATATTGATAGGCTATTATAAATCACGTGTAGGCAAATCTGGGCTAAGCACTGAACCAGAGATAATGTTATCTCTAATGCTATCTTGTTCACATAGGTATAATATATAATTATCTTGTGGACGCTTACTAATTCAGTCAGATAAAGGTTACTTGTTACAGCAGGTCTCACTTCACTGCTCTAAAGTTATGAATATAGTATTTTTACGATTGTCTTATTAAAGCTAGGTATTGTTACGTCAGCTTTGGTGGTGGGTTAATTTAAGGTAAGACTAAGATTTTGCACTGTGGTTCTGCTTCACCTAACATTCATTTGCGCCGCATTAAGTGCTAAAAAACTAAGTTTTGGCTCGATTTCTTTTGCATGTTACTAATTATTTCTTGTTACACTTGTTTTTTTTGATATTTTAAACTTTTTTTTGTTGTGAAGTTGTTAATTTTTTTCGAGAGTTAATGTGTAATGTTTACTTTATAAATAACTGTTTTTAAATAATTAAAACTATGAAATTCCAGGTCATTGACGCTCTTGAATTAGCTTTCCAAGAATTAGATTCTGAAGAGAGTTTCGGTGAAAGCACTATGGATGACTCTAAAATTAAAGAAAATGGGACCCAAATGGAATATCCTCAGGACAAAGTAACCGGCAAAGAGCCTGTGGTTGATTTCGACACTGACAGTAAGATATCTGTGGCGCCTCTGTACGAGAATATTAATATATTTTATAAGCACAATGATGACACAGGAGCTTTTCCGCTCGATTTGCCGAGTAACGTTTTGGAACCACCAAAAGAGAAACCTCCACCTCCGCCCATGGAAGACGCCGCTGATGATGATCTGGGAAATGTGAGTAAGATCTTTATAATTTTTTATCAGAACTTTGCGTTTCTCATGTAATTTCAATATTTAAAAAGTTGTCAGTTTACCGTTTATTATCAATGATTATTTCAATTTCAATTCATTCAATTGAAACTTTGTGGCAGAAAACTAAATCTTCAAATGTACGTTTTATTCTATTTCATTCACTGTTACTGCTACAACGTTCAGCCTATTGGGAAAAATTATGAACACAAATACATCATACATAATTAGATATAATATCTCTGATTATGGTACGATAGGCCTACGAGATAACGTTTTTTACTAATCAAGATAGTTTTTATCATAATATCAGCCGCATCTTATCACCTATGAATTATAATCCCACTCAACTCAAATCTAACAGATAAAATCTCCCAATTTCAGGGAAACTTTAAACACACGAGCTCAGCGCGACGCATCAAGAAGGAGATCCGAAACAAGCGAACAAGTTTCTTGGGAATCGAAGGTCAAGTTGATGACAGCTATCTAGACGTAGATCTTAAATTGGCACCTCGACCGGATATAACATCGTTCTTACAAGAAGAGACGAAGATTGAGAAACTGCTTTATAAGAAGACTTTGTCTCATGATATGGATGCTAAGTTAAGGGATAGCAGGGACTCTGGAGTTGATGTCGATAGAGGCCCGTCAGCTGAAGCCTGGTACAGAGGGCAGTCGTCGCCGGAAACATCGAATCCACACAGTAGACAGAATAGCGAGGTAAGTTTTATTTTGGGTACAATTTATAGGTTTGGTCTCGTCTCCGATACTTAAGACTACTATTGTAGGAAAATGTTGAAAATTATATTTCAAAAGTACCCTTATAGATATCTCTCTTTATATTTATGTAGGTCCAAAACTCTATCCCACCCTATGTTAAATTGTTGTGCGAACTATAATCTATTTTAATAAATCATGATAAAAATATAAAAGAGACACAAATAACTAACATGGATTTCGTAAATGTTTCCAGCCTTACACACACGTTACAGTGACATCAGACGAAGAAGAAGCAGCAAAAAAGCAAAGCGAAATAAACTTCACGACAAACCTTAACACAAAGCTGACAGAATTGAAAGACAGCTCGCAAACTGACGAAAGCAAAATAGATTCGTTGGACAAAAAACTGCAACAGCAACAGGTAACTACATTATAAAAGAAAAACCTGTAGAAGACTTCATAGTAGTTTGAATCGCACAAGGTTGTAATTTAGTTCCAAACTTATTTAAGGGAGCATTATAGGTCCGCACTTATTTGGGTGGACATTTATGGCGGTAGTAATAGATTTCTCTAGATATTTATTTATTTAGAATTCAACTGCTATTGAATATTGATATATATTGTTGTAGTTACACAGTTGATACATCATAATTATATTTTTGTTATTATAGTAGATCTCGTAGCTATTGTTGTGTCTTTAGAAAAAATAAACTATAGGATAGGTATAATTATTTTCTCGAATTCTATTGACTTCTGGTCGAAAGTATTGATTTCTTGTTAAATAATAATGTATTTAGTAATAATCAAAAATATACTATCTGGTAATGGTGTTAGGAGTATAATCGCACTGTAAATGCTTTGAGAGCACTGAAGTTGATCATTATTTTCCAAGGATCTGTATCTTATTCTCTTTTTTTTAGTTCTTAACATTACACATTGGAAATCGATAATATTGTTTACATGTGTAAAATCTTAATGTGTCATGTTTGAACAAAACGATGCTGCATTATTAACAAAAATCCCGCTTCCTAACGCTTTTATATATTGTAAATGATTACATATCTTTATTTAAAATTATGTTTATTTATATTATATTTTAAGTTAAAAAAATAGATATGCTTCACGGAGGTTTTGGTTGTGAAAGCTGTAGTAATGGCTATTTTTATGTTGTATATGGTAAATTTCTTTCCAAATAAATATTATTTTATGATTCAATAAATTCTGACTTTTATTTCTTGCACACTTATGTATCTATTGTAGATTTCTGGTTGCACATTTGCATGAATTGCACGCGCTATTTCATAACTTGAGAATGTAATTTAAAATTTATAAAATCTTAAGTTACTATGCCTTTTATTCCATCATTCATTCGAATTTCTCCAATATAACTATAATGTCAAATTCAGTCATTCATCAGCTGATCTCATAAAAAAAACAATTAAGATAGTAATGTGTAGTTCATTATACTATAAGCAATCAAATGCTTGATTTAAATCTTTTCTAGTGAAGTTTTTTAGATTCTTTGCGTATTTTATAACGTCTTGACTTTGGTTTACAACTTTCAGTATCAATTGCTTAGTAATAATATTAATAATTTGGAAATTATGTAAACGTTATCAGTGTTGCCTTAATATCATCCGCATTTTTTGTGTGTAAATAACATTTATAACCAAGATGGCCGCCCGTGTAACTTTGCAGGCGTGTCGCACTAACGAGGATTGGCCTGACGGGCTCGTTGACGATGCTCATACCAAGGTGACTGACTCATTTTACACTTTAACGCATTCCGCAAACGAATCATTAAATACATAATAAGATAATGATAAATAAGACAACACAAAAAATATTCTAAAAAAGCATGATCAGTGACTCGTTTGCAGAATGCGGAAACAAATCAATAATATACATTATCTCACTCATGTAAATATTGAATGTTATATCAATCCATCATTCGCACAAAAACCGAAAAACCCTGAATCTATTACCTACCATTCCGCGCAAATGCACGCAAGCTTCAGCCTCGCACTAAATTTTAAAACTAATATTTCAAATCCGCACTAACCCAATTACAAATAGATACGACAGTAAAATAATTAAAAAACAATCCCAATATTAGGAAGTACTGCGCTTTGAGCGGGAATTACTGCAGTTGGAACAAGAAGAGTTGAGGAGACAGCGGGAAAATCTTCTCAGAGATCAAAACAGGATTATTCAGAAATCAGTACAGGACATATCTAGCGTTCCTAATACACCTGAGAAGCCGCCATTGCATTCGAGGAGCGGGAAATCTGTGAATCAAAATTACAGACACTCGATGCCAAACTTGCTTATAAACGAAAACTATACTCCTGTTGTTCCTTCGATACCGGAACGGCCCGTTTTTGATGAGAATATGAAGCGGAAACCGTTTGTGTCAGAGGAACATATACAGAGACATTTCGGAGTTGAAGAAAGCAGGAAGGTTTTGTACGAGGATAGGAAGATAGGAGAAGCTGTGAGAAGACAGTTGCCTAGCGTGAGGCCACCTCAACCAATCTTACCACCGAAGCCGAAGACTCGGGAGTCGATTGAGAGGGAAATAACAATGAGGTACGTAAAGTTTTCAAACAATTTTGAAACACATTAATCAGGTAATATCGAGAATTGTGTTAAAATATTAGTAAATCCGCTAGTACTGCAACAATTTGTAACTAAATTTTAGTGCAGTTGTCCTCAACCGATTTGAGATGAAATTTTGCACGCACGTTGAGTTTGTATGTCATTGCATAGTTAGCAACGTTCAGTTTGAATGACATTGCAAGCGATGATGTCATTCTAAATCCAATATGAAGTTTTCGTGTCCAGTGCACTCCCATATACATAAAGGCGATTAATTAGAACAAAACATACGAATAAACTAATGTCTGCCTTAAATTTTCTTCTTTATAGAACATCTTTTTTTTTTAATGATATTATTAAAGTCATGTTAAGGTTATACTCATAATATGTTACATACGTATTTGTTAGAAGCAGTCGCGTACCATCAGCCGTGGAGTACGTTAACGTGGATCGTACCACCGTGCAGTTGCGCCAAAAGACGGGGGCCAACGGGAACGGCCAGTACCATCCCATGACCAGACACACTTTACAGGTACTTAAAATTTTACTGGTTCTAATAGTCATAAGTTAGTCATAAACTAGCAAATCAGTGAACCGAATGTTCACCAAAACCTGATTTAAAAAAAAAATGTATTTAATTAATTGAGAACTTCGGAGATTTTGTGTGGTTTCGTTTGAAATTCGTGATTTCTCGAAAACCGGAAGTGCTACGTTACTCAAATCCGGTTTGTAGTCTTATCAGACTATTCTTAACTTATAACTTAAATATTCTCTTTATCTATCTCTTACGATTTGGCCGCTGCAACAGCACCACGGACAGACGGACTCGTCTAATAGATAAGAGATAGTTCTTGAGTGGAGACCGCGACTCGGTAAACGTAGTGTGGGACGCCCTGTGACAAGATGGGATGATGACATTCGTAGGCTGGCTGGCGTGAGCTGGATAAGAGTGGCAGAAAATCGGGAGCAGTGGCGTGCATTAGGGGGGACCTATGTTCAGTAGTGGACGAGCATGGGTCGATGATGATGATGAATAGTCATAATGTGTGGCACGCTTATTTTTGTCCGCGGTCCGACCCCGTGGCTTAGCATTAAGCAGCGTAGAGGGTATTCGCAGGGTTTTTAGCGGATATTATAGGTACCGTAAAGCGCCCGTAGGAGTTACGGGGTCCTCAGTGGCAGGGCTGCGGGGGCTCGTAAGGCTTACGGGAGCCAGGTGTGAGGTCCGTTCGGCGGTGTGCCTCTTAAAGGCGCCGTCGTCTGCAAATAGAAGTTTTGCCTGCGTTAAAAAAAAAAGCGGGAACTACCTCCTATCGGGATAGCTTTGGCTATTGCTATAGCTTCTGATTTCATTTTGTTATTTCTAACAGCCGAAGGTTTTCAAATACCTCGTGCTCATTTTCTTTAATATTGTAATTACCAATGCAAAAAGAGCGTAAGGCATTTAAAAACCTTCGGCGGTCACAAAAAATGAAATGAAACCATAAGCTATGACAATAAGCAAAGCAACTTTTTAGGCGGTAGGTTCCATGCTATTGCTATGGCTATTGCTTATGATTTCATTTTGTTTTTCTGACCGCCAAAAGTTTTCAAGTACCAGTAGTAAAGAAAAGATCGCGGGAGCATTTGAAAACCTTCAGTGGTCAGAAATAACAAAATGATAGCCAGTACAATACCGTTCCAGGTCTGCGATGAACTAGCAGAACTGAAATTAAGTTTGTAAACCTCATATTTATCTGAAAACAAAATTAATACCGTGTGATATTCTCCTGTGCTAATATTGAGATTGATTCAATGTTTGTCGCAGGCGTTAAGCGCTGCACCGACACAGAAGGTAATATCCAACGCGGAGTGGATGCAAGCGCGCCAACCGCCTCCGAGGAAACCAGCCAGTTACAACTACAACCAACATTGGCTCATTCAGGTTGGTTTAGTTATGATTTGATATAATAAATAAATAAACATTTCCTACACTCACTCCAATAGGATATTTGACAAGTTTTAGAAAACAATCTCATGTTATTTACATGACATTACACATAATGTTTATGGAGTCCTTAAAAGATGGATATTCCTCATGAACGCCAATCTAATTTGTATAAACTATGTTTTAAAAATATATGCGTATCAATTACACTTTATTAGCCAAAAAAATATACGACGAATAGAGAATTCTTTTTGAAGTCGGTTAATAAAAGAGGTTCTTTGTCAATATATATGTGGGTATTTGTTTCTTAGGTTTTCACGCATATCGCTCATTAAATAAAACTAGTTTTAACGGGTTAATGCACGAAACTTTATTTATTTATTGACGTTTCGCAGCCTTTTCAGGTCTGCATCGTCAGAATATTCCGATATGTGGGTACTTTAGTAATAGAAAAATGGCCTACCACATACATACATTTGGCTTTGGTTCTTTCAGTAAATAGAATCTCCCACCACATTCTCGTTACTTTGTAATACCTAAAATTGCTACCAGAATTTAATTATTTAGGTATGTCTGCTAAAAATTTTTACCTTCAATATAAATAAGAAACAAAATTTTCGTACGAATACGCTTCAGCCGCTGCTGTTTAGTTATTCCAAGGCCGGAATTACTTCGACGAGTACCCTTAGTACGAGTTTGAGCTCACGAAAACTATCATAGTTTTTGTAATTGTAAATTATGTTTCTATGTCCAGTCCATGGTGAAAAGTAACCAAATATACTTAAAATATAAGAAGACTCAAATGATTTAATGATAGAATTTAAACACTGTTTATTTGTATTGAAACGAAAACAATAAAATCAGTACCCTTAGTACGAGTGCGAGCTCACGAAAACTATCGTAGTTTTTTAATTGTAAAACTATGTTAACTAAGTCTAAGGGTACTGAAGTCTCCATACCGGAATTACTTTGGTCGGAGATATCAAGACTGGAAATGCCTAGGCCAGAAGCGTCTAGAGTGGAAGTTCCGAGACTAGAGCATTAAGAAGAGTTTGTGACTCCTCACGTTTACCAATAATGCTTCACTGGTTTCGAACTAAAGGATTCGCTTATATAGAAAATGTTCATTGATATACGCATGTTTATAATTATATACAGACTACCCTGTTTCCTTCTAGAAATCTATTGTTAGCATTGGCGACCTATTATTTTTGTTTTCATACAAAAAGAACTAAATAATTAAGCATTGGTTGCGTTAAATGACCACATATATTATTTTATTTTTTTGGTAAAATATGGTATTGTTTTGTTATAATATTGATAGAAATGCACTCAGAAATACTTTTTTGTTTTTCAAATTACTTTCGATGGATTGTGTATTGTCAAAGTTTTTATCTCATTTTACTTTCCTTTCTAGTAAAATACAGTTTGTTTTATTTATACATTGATACACTGTATTCATATTAAACGGGGATGGCTGTTAATTCTGCAACACAGTTTTGTAAAACTATAGCAGATTTATCGTTTCATGATTTTATGTACATTGCCCTTGTTCCGAATAAAGTTAATAATATTATTTTATATAAATGTAAGCTCTTATATTAATGGAAAATGTCACCAATATTCAGGAAGCAGAACAACGCAGGATAGAAGAGCAGAGAATGAAAATGCGAGTCAACCAAAGGCATTCGTACCATCAGGACATGACGCCAACGACGCTACATCACATGCAACAACTCAGCTCTAGGTAAATAAATCATAGTAATCATCATCATCAGCCTATTAATGTCCCCACTGCCGGGGCACAGGCCTTCCCTATGGTTGGAATAGGGAGATTGGGCCATGACCCACCACGCGGGCCCAGTGCGGATTGGCGGGTGTTAACGACTGCAGATGCAGCCGGGACCAACGGCTCAACGTGCCTTCCGAAGCACGGAGGAGCTCGAGATAGTAATTTTTGGTCACCCCTCCAATGACCGACCACTGCGAAAGTTGCTTAAGTTCAACGATCGCAGCCGAACGCGCTAACCACTTGCGCCATCGAGCTCCTCAAATCATAGTAATAATTAAATAAAGTTTTATATTTTAGATTTTTATGATTCAATCATTATTTCATCATTCATGAAAGATTTTTTTACTAATAGGATATTTGCCAAGTTTTAGAAAACTATCTCATGTTATTTATGGAGTCGAAGAAAATTGAATATTCTGTTGTGTATTTCAGTAAAAAACATCTGGTATGTGACATCACACAACTCTATCATTAGAACGTCAAATTATACAATGTAATGTCACTCTGACCGGAAGTTTTAGCGTGTGACGTCATTTTAGTCTTCGCCAATCCCAGGCGTTTTCGCTCACGTGACCATAGAACAAAAAAAAACATTTTTATTTAATGATATTTTTTTTTTAAAAGTTATTAATTGTTAGTAAAATCCTTGTTAATATTCATATTAAATACAGATCCTATTATTATTATCCTTTGCTGTATATAGTAAACATAGTAAGTATTATTTTTTATGTTATTAACAGAGTTCTAATATGGTGATATTAGAACTGTTCCAAATGCTATCTAGCAAAATTAAAAACTAATAAAATTTAAAATTCAAGAAAAAAATACCCTTCTAAATCTTTAGCAAGTGTTTCAATAATATAAAAAAAATATTGGGCACATATCGTTTGCCTCTGATTCCTAACTTTTTAGGTATAATCTTTTTTAATATTAAGATACCTACTAACCGCAATAACATTTATCCTACTAATTTGCATTGTAGTCAACAACATTTGGCTGACTACAAGCGGCCGGCACGCGCAGACCGTATAGAAGTATCAAGATCAGAGATGCCTCGTCCAGAGTTATCTAGGCCAGAAATTCCTAGGCCTGAATTACCTAGGCCGGAATTACCCCGACCGGAAATCAGGTCGGAAATACTTCGTTCAGAAATATCAAGGCCGGAAATGCCCAGGCCAGAAGCGTCCAGAGTCGAAGTTCCCAGACCAGAGTTGCCGCGATCAGAAGCGTCTCGTGAAGATAAGATGCTCAGCGTCAGCGGAAGAAGGAAGTGTTCCCATTGTGGAGAGGAACTTGGTAAGCTGGACAAAATTTTAGAAAACCAATTTTCATCATCCTCGCCATCAGCCTATTATTGTCCCCACTGCTGGGGCACAGGCCTTCCCTATGGATGAAATAGGGATTGGCCCAGGATCACGACGCGGGCCCAGTGCGGTAATCCGCACCTAATGGTGCTAACGAATGCCGATGCAGATGGAACCAACGGCTTAACGTGCCTTCCGAAGCACGGAGGAACTTGAGATAGCAAATTTTTGGTCACCCATCCAATGACCGACCACCGAAGTTGTTTAACTTCAACGATCACAGCCGAACGCACTGACCGCTTGCGCCATCGAGCTCCTCCTCGAATCTATACGTAATTGACCGAAAATTAAATTCTTTTCCTAATTCATATTCATATTAAATTTCGTGGCAGTCGCATAACATTCTGTTAATTAATACATCGAAACTTCATCTTTGCAACGATTAGGAGAATAAAGTTCAGTTGCCTGTGTAAGACTTCATATTGGATATTCCAAAGCTCAGAGACGCATCGCATGCTAGATTAGACTATGCAATCTCAGTGGAACTGTAGTCAGTGCGACCTGAAAGATCAATTGTGACTCGCCACCAAGTTATTTTTATCAAAGTACGACTTGACAGGACGCTGTTGGCTCCTGCTAAATAGTACATTTCCGCAGTGGCCAGAAAAAAAGGCATTGATGGACAAACGTGTAAATGTGGGCCGAGGCACACATACGTAAGTCCGTCAATGTCTAGTTTTGGCCAAGGCTTGTATAGTACTTTTATCCAATAATGCGCGGAAATTATCACTTTCCAAAAGTCAATGACGAACAATAAATTATTCTCGTGTTTAATTGTGTATGCATTTGTTTTTTTTTTTTCATAAATTATTAAATACATCTGTGGTTCAAATATTTTTTCCGTTTTATTTTTTATTTGTTTCTTAGGTTTTCACGCACATCACTCATTAAATAAAACAGTTTTAACCGGTTATATGCACTGCATTTCATATCCCTATAAATTTAATTTAATATTTTTTTCCGTTGTTCAGGTCGAGGTGCAGCCATGATAATAGAATCCCTGTCCCTCTGCTACCACGTATGGTGCTTCACTTGCGCCGTCTGTGGAGCGAGGCTGGGAGACGGGCGAGCCGGTGCCGATGTGCGCGTGCGCGGCTCTCGCCTACACTGTCACCACTGTTATTCCGGCGACGACGGACGAAAGTATTCCCGCGTCTGAAACGAATACCTGGATGTTGTGCTTATAAGTGCCGTGATGTGATGCTAATACCCGCGTGTGAATAACAAGTGCACAGTCGATACTGTTGATAAACCGGTAGTGAATCTCGCGAGTGTGAACAACATGCCAATCTAGTTGATTCGTTTGTCGCTGTAGAAGAACCTGTGATGCTAGAACTCGCAAGTGAATCCTACTAGAATCTGTCGCTTGAATTGCCACCACTGCTACTCCGGCGACGACGGACGAAAGTATTCGCGCGTATGAAGTATTTATCTGGATGATGTGCTTATAGTTTCCGATGCACTTGAAAACTGTGATGTGACAACGACAAGTGCAGGTACATAATTTATTTGTCGACTCTGATAATGTTGGATAACCGGAGGTGATGTGACTCGCGAGTGTGATAGACTTTCGGGTTATCTATTCGTCGTTACCGAAACTACAGCGTTTCGGCGGTCAAACTACTGGCCACGTGTGTTTGTCATGTTTATGTAGATGATCTGTTGGTTGGCAGTTAATACTTCAGAATCGACGAGAATGTGTATTATAAAATAATATCATATGAATTAGTAAGATCTATTTGTCATAATCATTGCGATGTGATACGTCAAATGAACAATATTTTCTTCGGTACTGCCACTGCAGCTAATCTAGTGACAATGGACTGTGTGTTGAACGCGATAGGTTTGAGTGGATAACGTAGATTTTTTTAATATTTTGAAGTTGAATTGGAATTTATTAATCAATTAATCTTGTTCAAGGAAAGCGAGAATTTAGTGTTATAATTGGCATCTATATGGCAAAACACCATGGTCAAATTACCTGCATTCAAATGCGGGACAAAAACAATATCGAACTAAGCTATACCTTGGTATATGGCGGTCGTAACGTAGGCGTAGGGCCTATTTTATTAAGAAAATATTTAAAATAAGATCTTAAATCAGGACTTAATCAGAACTGTGAAGTTTAAGATGTGAAGATCTTTAATGAGACTTAACCAGAAATGTAAGGTGACTTTAGCACAGTCAAAATCCCGGACAAGAACATATAACACTGGAAAACTTCTACATTATAAACGAGCCACTATTGGCAAAACGTGATAGCTACCTACCGCGTTCTTGGTCAATGCACTCGTCGCAGACATATCAATTTATATGTTAAATGAAACTTGTATGCAGTAACGTCTTAATTTATTTAGTTAAACCAAAAACACTGCGAAAACTCGAAAACAGGCCAATTGAAGCGTTTATCATTGCATATCATTGGAGCGTAACATTTGAAGTTGTAACATGGTTGGAACAGATTTTAAACTCAATTACTATGAATATGTTACATTCATAGTGATTAATAAAAATATCGATAATTTTAAGACATGTCACTAGTTCGAGGATCATTAAAAATAACTGTTTTTATGAAAAGTTAAAACTTCATGCGAATATTTTAAGAAAATTAGAGAAGACTCGTTATATGATGTACTTCGACGCCCTTCAAGCTTTATTTGTATTTTTGTAACACCCTGTATAACTAATACACCATTGAGTTAAACCAAAAAGAGCCTTGTATATTATACTAATTAAGACTAATTGCTTTCATTTGACATATAGATTGATGGGTCTGTATACGTCTCGGCGACTCAGCCAGTCCTGAGTCCGCTATTGCACGCTGTTTTGCACCGTATTAGGGTAAATTATGCACTTTTAAAGATGCTGATGATTTGATTTGTAATTACTAATGAAAAAGGAAATTGTTAAAATTATTTTTGGTTGAATATCACTGTTGGGATCAGTTACAGACTGTGCATTGAGTTGTATACAATGTTAATTTTTTTTTTGACGTAATGTGAACATTATTTGAAAGATTTTAAAGTTCAATGTTTATTGAAATTTGATGTGATTGCACGTTTTCCTTCTTTGATATTGTTTGATGATAATAAATAATTGCTACTTATATACCAATCATCTATATTATTACAGTATTAAATAACCCCACTGTCTTATGTTTCTAACTTGTTTGTGCCATGCCATAAGGTTTTCATTGATTCGTCTCGTGAGAAGTACACAAATCATTATTCAATAATCGTTATATTATTAGAATTTAGATCTTGTTATAATGTGCGTCAAGCGTCCATATTGTTTGATTAATGTAATGGGGGAAAGGTTCGATTCTTGACGCACTATTAAATCTACTAGAAAATGCACGTTGGTTTTCATATTCGTAAATAGATTATCGTTTTTATGAACAGAGTAAATTGTAATATTTTGTAAATAGATTTTAATTTATACCTTAGTTCGTTTAACGTTTAGCTTTAATAGTTAGTATTTTAGTTTAAAAACATTTAATCCAAAAAACGTATATTTGAACATAAATAAACGCTGTGTATAAAATTACTGACAAATATATTTTATATTTTTACATCACTAAAATAGTGTAATTTTGTATCGTGTTCTTTCTATTTGTATCATGTACCTAACGTATGGAGACAATAAAGTTCTTTTTTGTTTGTGATTCTTATGGAGCCTTTCGTTTTGTTGTAATTACCTACCTTACTTGGTCAATATGTACATTTATTCTGTGGGTAAGTCCCGTATTGTGTAACAATAAAACATTTGAAGGTAACGAATCTATGTTTTATTTTCGCCAAAGAACTACTTTTGGTTTATTTTGATTGTAATAAGTTGTTATGTATGTTTCGTACATTTCATTTCATCAGCATATTAATGTCCCCACAGCTGGGGCACAGGCCTTCCTTATGGATGGAATAGGGAGATTGGTCCATGACCCACCACGCGGGCCCAGTGCGGATTGATGGGTGTTAACGACTGCAGATGCAACCGGGACCAACGGCTTAACGTGCCTTCCGAAGCACGAAGGAGCTCGAGATAGTAAATTTTTGGTCACCCATCCAATGACCGACCACTGCGAAACTTCAACGATCGCAGCCGAACGCGCTAACCAGTTGCGCTATCGAGCTCCTGTTTCGTACCGGTTAACCTTAAAATATTAAGTTACTAGCGGCCGCCTGCGACTTTGTCTGCGCTAACTTTAGTTTTTGAGAATCCCTCAGGAAACGCAAATTTTTTCCGGGATAAAAACTATCGTACGTGTCATTCCAGGTCATAAACTACAAAACTTTATCAAATCCGTTCAATAGTTTTTGCGTTATTTATCGTGTAACGACAAAATAAATAGAGTAAAAAGAGGAGAACAGCAAAAAAAGGTTGTAGGGTTGGATTTATTTACAACATCAAAAATATTGTTTTAAACTTTCATGGTCACTCCTTGTTTTTTATTGGTCTCCGATATTTCGGCACTGTTGCAAGCGCCATGATCACGGAGTAACTGAAGTACAGCTGCCACTATTATGCATGTAGCAACCCTTTATAGTCTGACCAAAATGATTTTGGTCAGACTATAAAGGGTAGTAGTAGTTCATTCAAGTAAAATAGGTAATTAAGACACACTATACAGTCGTATTTTGTTTCTGTTTCATATATAGTAGGTACCTATGCTTATAAAAAGTTTAACCAAGCATATTTAATTGAATCAGAATAAAATTATTATAGATAAAATAGTACAATATAGTGTACAAGTGTGTAATGTTGGTGATTACCGCTGGGGTGCCATTAGGACCAGAGCCGTTAAGTAATCATCACGTCGACGTTTTTTAACACACTTGTTAAGAAAATAATAGTAAAAATCATTTTATAGTATACATATAAAAAGTTTATATGGAGAATCAATTTGTAAATGTGCAGTTAGTAAAATTAGTGATAGGTATCTTCACTAAAAGCATCTGGCCATGGTTCTCTATGTGACCACTTCTTTCTTTGGTCGGCCTTGCCTGTGTTTACCAGGAGTTTCAAACTTTCCATCATTCTTAAAACTTCGTTGACTATCCGCCTAACTGTACTCTCTGATTTTCCTGAAAAAAAGTAAAAAATATGAAACGGAATAGAAACAATAACTTATTTACATGAAGCAATTAGTTCAAAATTGGTAGAAAACCTGACTGAGCTGTACCACCCTAACGTATCAAAGGAAATGGTCGTACTACAATATTACCTATTTATAATGTTAATCTAACCTAAAAATATGTAATATAAACAATGCCTTTTTTGGTCTCAAAATCGTAAATTGAGTAAATTTGTAACTTCAGGCAGATTACAAACAAATAGTTACATGATTACATACCCGTCATAGATGCTGTTCGTCCATAAACATCATCCAAATCCCACAAATTTCTTCCAGCTTGGTACTCCGCGAAACATCGCTGGAAAACTTTTAAAATCACTTCCCGCGTGCCACTTCGATTTCCTTTACTCACTTTATACCTTTTTGCGTAGTTTCGTCTTAATTTATTACAGTTTAATCCAAACAATAAAAAATACAAAAGGAAAACTGTTCCACAACTCAAACTCGATGACAGCTGATGTACATAAGTTTGGTGTTGCCAGACACACGAATAATGATAGTTCCTCAAACATTCATGTCACGACTTTATAGACAAACTGTAATCGCGGGTAGATGTTATTGGCAGACATATCGGTCTACCCTCTGACGTCGTCTTTTACTGCGCTCGATACCTCTACCACTGGTCACATTCTCACTATTCACTCGCACTTGTTCCCGACACACAATACTCACAGTATCAGATCGCGGAACGACACTTTTTTGATTTTTGCGGTTTCTACACATACGAACCACTGGATTCCATCGGATCATATGTGTAGATCATGGCGCTCGCAACAGTGCCGAAATTACGGAGACTCATAAAAAACAAGGCACATGATAACAATCCCGTTAATAGCTATAATCATTTTTTTACAGTAGCAAGTATAAAAAGGAAAGCGCTGTTTGTGGTCGGCAGGCTCTTTTGATGGCGGGGTAAAGCTGTTGGAGGCCGGACGATGCAGCTGGAGAAATCAGAAATCAATATATCTTAATTCAAATTGGATGTATATACAACTGTATTGAATCGTCCAAAAATTTCTTTCTCTACCACTCTTTATATTTTTTTAGCTGCGGAGAAAAACGAGCGACAAAAATTCCACAACATTAAAAGAATAATGTAACAACATTAACAAATCATTATGTTGTTACATACAAAGTCAAGACAATCATGATTTATTTCATATAGAAAAC